AGTCAATAAATAATGTACAACCCAAAACAGACGGCCGAACTGACGTGACAATGACATTTGGCGCGCTAAACATGGCGGATTTTCGGCCTCATTAGACGGAGACGGAGATATTTACGTATATTCATGTTTCATTTTATGTACGCACTGAAATACTGTTATATTGTTTTCCTGCGAGTTAAAGTGCTGAGTAAGAACGAGATAGATATATGTTTATGTATGTGCCTTCAAAATGGGTGCTATTTATATAAGCAATTGTACGTATAGAACAATATGTCGTGTCCCTACTATATAGGTCTATGATATCGACAAGTCGCTGGTGATGTGTTCCATTAAATGAAATTATTTTAAATTCAGTTAATTAAACTTTATTATGTCGTTAAGTTCTTCACAATACTGAATTATAAAATAAAATGAATTTTAACGCGTCCAGAAACGGTGAGATTATTAAAACCTAGCCTAAATAGTTTTGAAAGAAATTTGTTTGTTATATTTGAACTTGTCTTACAAAATTTAACGAGAACTGTTAACTATACGATAAGTACAAGAATTGATCTCCGCGTGTAGTATAAAATGTAATATATTATTGTATCAAGATATTTAATCTAAACTAGTTAGGCAAGTTGTTTTTGCTCCCACGAATTCCCTCTCCAATTTAATAGTCAAAATATTTATGGTTTGGGAAATTAGGTAATATTTTAAAATCAAAATGTGTTATAAATAATAGATTAAAATTTTATCAACTGATTGTACTGAATGTCAATTTATGCTACGGAAATGTTATTCCACAGTATATTCGCACAAAACTTAGTATTCTGTGATGCAAATAATGCAATGTGAATATTCTAAGTGTTAAACATCCTAGAATATTCACATTGCATTAACATTTTACATTTACATAAACCGGTCTCCTTTGCTAAAAGAAAGTCTGGTGGTGATTTATTAACAATGTTCGTAGTAGTAGCAATCAAGTGAAAAATTTTAACCTCATCCTCTATAATATATTAATCCATATTTTTTATAATCATTTATCACTATGACCTGTCAGTTTTCAAAAAGGGAACCTCCCTTAGGTACATATTTGATCTTCATTTCCAGTGCTTTTATTGATTTATTTATTTATTAAAAATATCCACTGATTTTATCTTTGCTTGCTAGATTGATGATACAAATACTGTCGTTGTTTGATGCTTGCATTAATTCGTTATTTTAAAACAGTAGTTTCAGGCTTTTATTGAATTATTTTAATTTGATGATAACTACAAAACAATGCTTATAAAAATATTTTAAAACAATAAAATTAATTTAATATTTCCCAATAGTAGGGCCTTCAGGTGCCATCCGTAAAGCAAAACGAGTAAGTGATGTAGCTGCCATGGGTACTCCAGCACCTAACCCTGCATTTAGTCCCACTGCATATNGAAACAGTAGTTTCAGGCTTTTATTGAATTATTTTAATTTGATGATAACTACAAAACAATGCTTATAAAAATATTTTAAAACAATAAAATTAATTTAATATTTCCCAATAGTAGGGCCTTCAGGTGCCATCCGTAAAGCAAAACGAGTAAGTGATGTAGCTGCCATGGGTACTCCAGCACCTAACCCTGCATTTAGTCCCACTGCATATAGCCCTGGGTATGCACCTACAGGACCTCCTCCGCCTTACCAGGAAAGCTTCCAATTAGATGCCAATCAAGATTTTAATACACATGCTCCTGCAGGTAGTGAGTATTTTTATTGTTAATGTCTTTAATTTAAAAAAGATATAATGTATTCATAGCAAGACACAAACTAATAAATAAATAATTTTACTGCTTGTAATGATGCAAAATAGAATGACAATTTTGAAAAAATAGTGTATATTGATATTGGACATCAAAGTTTTTTAAACCCAATATATTCTTTCAATAAGATTGTTTTATTATATGTACAACTTATTTATTGTACCCCTTTTATTACACATATTACATTAATGTGCTCACAGATTTTGGATTTGCTGGGGGATTTCCTTCTCCAATGACTTCCCCGGCGCAAATAAGCTCTATGCTGCAACAACCTGTAGTCCAGGTATTTTGACATTCTTAGTTTTTTACCACTGTTATTATAGAGTAAATTAAATATTAATACAAAAACACTAAATTGTGAAAAGAAACTTTAACCATAATAATATTGCATCAAACTATGACTATTTTATTAACAGTTAACTATAGGTCTGATGACCCCTACCCCATAAGGCAGTTATTCGTCTTTTGTTGATGATATTTTAATTTTTTCCAGGACATGGCTATTCAATACGGCAACCAGCTCGCGGCTCAAGGCAAGGAGGCTGTGCAACGAGAATTGCACAAGTTTGTGCCAGTCTCGAGGCTGCGGTACTATTTTGCGGTCGATACAAGATATGTTATAAGGAAACTAATGCTCATAGTCTTCCCCTATACTCATAAGGTGATATTTCATTGACCCATAAATCTCTTGTTATAAATAAATCATTGCTTAGTTACATCCTCATAATGATAAAATCTGGAAGAAAATTTTACATCCTACTAATCAAAGAAACTCTGTCATTGGATAAGGTTCTCTGCGAGCCATAGTCTTTTCCCTGACCTGCTTATATTAGCCGATAGTATAAAACTCATGAAAAAAATAAATAGTTTCTGAATAAAGAGAGCTTGAACATAACGAACAAGGTATCGTAGTAATTACCGTATGTATTCTTCGTAGTAAAAAATAAGGCTGGCTGAAATGAGTTGTATGATTTTCTTATTGTAATTGTCTATATAGTCCTGATACGTCTAAATCTAATGAACGATACTGTTATTGTACAAATCAGGACTGTCATTGAACAGTTGAAATAATAAATTCGTTTTTGTATGAAAGTACTAATTACTACTTAGAATACTTTTTATTAACTAAGCTACTACTGTAGCCACATTACGGGTTGATACACCCATTGTGGCACACACTCCGTAAAATACTTTCGTTGCGAGTTGAAATGAAAACAATATATAAATAGAATTGAATCTTATATTTAAAAAAATATTTTTGAAGTTAACAACGGTAATACTGTTAGATAATAAGTTGTCATTTGTACTGGTATTTCGCTTCATACTCATAAAGGAACAGGGCTACTGAGAACAATATAAAAGATCATTCAAGATCGCCTAAACACATTATTATTCAAGGCATTGTTGCATTGTGAAGACTGCTCCTTTCCCTTCAGCGGGACAAACCAAAACAGACTATACTTCTTCTTTCTTTCTTTCCTATCAGCCTCTGCTGAGATGTAGGGCTCGAATCAAATTCTTCCGCTTACATCGGTCTTGGACAGTCTGTTATGACTCCTCCCACGTCATATAACAGACTATACTGGTGTTAATTAAATTATTGTTCGGTTACACCGTTAGCAGAACTTGCAAGACGCCCTACCAGCAGTTGAAATGTTTCTTTTGTGCCACAGGAGTGGATGGTGAAATACGATCAAGACACTCCGGTGCAGCCCCGGTACGACATCAACGCCCCGGACCTGTACATACCCTCCATGGGGTACGTCACGTACGTGCTGCTGGCCGGCTTCATGTTAGGTTGGTGATGAATATTTACACTGCGGGATAGCACGACGAACTGGCTCAGGCCCTGCCAAGCTGAGGGCTGTACAGTAACTTGGAGCACTTGTGTGATTAACAAAACTAGTGGTCCTCGCAGTAGTCGAAATTCGACTATAATTAATTGAAATTAAAAGTTTAAACCTTATTATGGTTCTATTGTCAAGCACTATTATATTTCTATAATAATGCAGATTTCGCTAAAACTACACTATAAATAAATAATATTAAAGACAAACAATATTAATCTGTTCTCAATTTGACCATAGACTTTAAACAATAACAAAATTTTCACAATTGACAATACACAAAGAGTATATTTATGCACATTTATTTATGGTTTCCCATTATATATTTTGGAATAAAAGCTTTTTTTTGTTCATTGCCCTATTTGCAGATGAACATACGACCCAACTGATGGTAAGTGGTTACCGTCGCCCATGGACTTCAGCAATGCCAGGGGCGGAGCCAAATTGCTGCCTACTGTTGATATTTAGTATTTATTTTCGGAATGACGAATCGTTGTTTTTTTAAATTCATACACGAAAATGAATAAGTAATCAGAAACAAGTCTCACCAATCAGGCCTCTAACTGGGACTCCCTTGTGCTGCGGAAATCAGCGACTGATACTTTTACATATTTGTAGACGGCGAACAAACAAACCTGCTCGTCACACAAGGGCTGCTCGATGAGGGGAATTAAACCCAAAACCCTTAACCCAGTAGTCGAACAACTCTCTGTTCACACATAAACACTGTGCCGTCGAATCACTCTACTGTTAACGCTACAGACGAATTCTCTGTATGTTTAAATTCACCAAAACGACTTGCAGGTCTTCAGCACAGATTCTCACCGGAACAAATAGGCATCCAGGCGTCCAGCGCCCTGGCCTACATCATCTTCGAGATGCTGCTGTACCTCGTCACGCTGTACGTCACCAACACCAGCACCAGCCTCAAGACCCTGGACCTGCTGGCGTACTCCGGCTACAAGTACACCGTGATGATCTCCAGCCTGCTGGCCGGCCTGCTCGCGGGCAGGACGGGCTACTACTGCGGTCTGCTCTACAGCAGCTGCGCTTTATCTTACTTTTTGGTGAGATTCATTTCAATATTCAGCATCTGAAGTCCCCGAGTTGTCCGCGGAGAGCGCGGTGCAGGGCGCGTGCACGAACCTCCCGCCCCCTCACTGTCGAGGATATGGCTCGCGTGCGCCGGCGTGAAGTAACCGCCGGAACCCACAGACATTGCCTCGTGAACGCCAAGTACGAACTGTGTAACATCACAGCTGTCCCTGACTTGCCGACCTCGTGGCAGAATGAGACGGGTCGACCCTGCGCAGCCCGAACGTCTCTTGCACGTTGGTGACGCCCGTTCGTCTCATTCCAGGTGAAGACGCTTCGTCTCCAGTTGCTGTCGGGGTCTCAGGGTCCGGAGCAGCCCTCGTACGGGTTCCCCAACCCTCCCTACGCCGCCAACCCTTACTCCGACGCCTGGGACAAACCAACACCAGGAGGCACCAAGCGAAGGGTCTACTTCTTGCTGTTCGTGGCGATAACACAGCCGCTGCTGTGCTGGTGGCTGACTTACCATCTCGTGGCATCGCCGCCTGGCGAGGGCGCGGGCCCGGCGCGATAGCGGGTGCTCCGGGGTGAGCTCGCTCGTAAGGACCGACCGTGTTGCGGAAGTCGCGCTTCTCCTTTGAATGATGACACGGAACAAAATACACAATATTTTTATAAATTGCGAGTTCTTAATTACGTAAGAATAATGGAGTTCTAAAGTCAGTCCGCGAGCTGCGGTAAGTGGGCGTCCGCTCCGCTCCCGACGGTAATAACAAAAGATCTAGAGTTTATACTTTGTATTTTATAAACTATTGTCGATGTAAACTATATCACATTTATTATTTTTGTTTAATTTGAATCAACCTTTTACTTATAATTTTTTTAAATAAATTTGACTAATCTACTATTTTAAGCTACAATGGGTCAAGTTTACTTAAAAACAAACAAAGATTGAAAAAAAAATCTGTTTATAATTACATTTACTATGAGTTTGTTTTACAAAATATTAATTAAGGCTGTCCGCGCCGGCCGACAGGTAGCGCTGTCGCGGTTGTCCTTAATCAAATAATGAATCTAAATTCGAACTGCAGACTTGAATTTGTTAATACGAAGAAATACTTTTATAAATATTGTTTTATTTCTTTCAATCCCATTTTTAATAATAATATTATAAGAGAGAGAGAGAGAGAGAGAGAGAGTATTCTTTATTGTACTCCAAAAAACAAATAAACAGTGCGATACATTAAACAAAAAAAAGTACATTGGCGGTCTTATCGCTAAGAGCGATCTCTTCCAGACAACCATCAGGTGAACAAGAATCATTTGGAAACGAACTACGCGCGGTGTACCATTCCAGTGAATACATATACATGTATGTACACATACAAATACACATACATACACACATACATATCTCCGTAAATATACATACAATTAATACAAAGTATTATAATATAATGATAATTATTAAAAATAAAAAAAATATTACATTTTGCTTCTTTGCACATAAATAAGAATAAGCAATTTACATATAAAAGATACTTAAAATACCTTTGAAACATATACAATTTAAGTAGATACCAATTTCAGAAATCTACCTTATCACATATTAAGTTGGTTAATTTGGTTAATATTATAATACCTTTATTTCCCGAACATTTTATATTGTTGACTAAATATTTAAAGTAGATTAAGGAATACATTATATAAAAAAATATATATATCTATACTAATTTATAAATCTACAGTGGTTTTTACGGGTCTTTTTATTTATTTTTTATTGCTTAGACGTGTGGTCGAGCTCACAGCCCCCCTGGTGTTAAGTGGTTACTGGAGCCCATAGACATCTACTACGTAAATGCGCCACACACCTTGAGATATACATTCTAAGGTCTCAGTATAGTCACAACGGCTGCCCACCCTTCAAACCGAAACGCATTACTGCTTCACGGCGGAAATAAGCGGGGCGGTGGTACCTACCGTACCGTGTGGACTCACAAGAGGTCCTACCACCAGTAATTACGCAAATTATAATTTTGCGGGTTTGATTATTATTTCACCGTGAAAGTAAATCGTAAACATTTGTTAAGTACGTATTTCATTAGAAAAACTGGTACCCGCCTGCGGGATTCGAACACCGGTGCATCGCTCGATACGAATGCACCGAACGTCTTATCCTTTAGGCCACGACGACTTCAAAATTCCGTTCCGTTATAACTACTGAACCGTGCATCCAATTGACTTGAAACTTGATATCCATGTAGAAAATACATGTACTTAATGAATAGACTAATATTTGTATGAGTGTTGGCCTCCCTACATCAGTTGCGGGGGCGTTAATGATGAGAATCTTTGTGGGGGTCAGAAATAATAATGTTAATTTTAAATGCTCGGCGAAGCGGAGGGGTACAGCTAGTATTATATAAAAATACAATAAAAAAGTAAAATCTACACTTATACAAAAAAAAATTCTCTCGTCTTGATGTCCCTTTTGGCAAAGGCCTCATCCAACTCTTTCCAGTGCTTTCTGTGTGCTGCTGCTCTTATCCGAATAGGTGCAGAGGTAATTTTCAGTTCATCCTCCCATCCTCTTGCTTTGCGACCTCGGCTCCTCGAACTATCCGTTGGGTACCATACTGCCACCTAATTGTACCATTTCTCCTTTTTGCAGCGGAGCATATGTCCTGTCATCCTGTCGATTTGTCAATTTGTGGCTCAACATTTTTTCTACTGAGTTCTAATTCTTTTGTCTATTTCTTTGGACATTTGTTTATTGGGTGATATTATTTGGTCATTTTTTTTCTACCTAAGCTGGCAGCCTTGATAGGCCACGCCAGCGTAACCGAGCGAGTAGGTAAGCTCACGAGGTTCTAACCTGACGACGTTGCTAACACTAGCTCCAGCAAAAGCAGTCGCAAAATATTCCACCGGACCGGAAACGCGACCCACTGAGAAGATCCGGCAAGAAACTCAGTGGGGTGTGCTATGGGTTAATTTGCTCGTCGAGCCCTTCGTCGCAAGCGACGGGTTTGGCGATGACGGTGACCGTAGGTGAAGTTGCCGCTGCACTGTAGAATTCAAACTTTCAACGCATCGTCCAAGATGGGTAGCGGCATTTATATTACGTTGGTGACAGCAATGGACTCCGGTTTCCACTTAACATCTGGTGTCCGCCCAACACACGCTCATCTACACGCTTAAACAATAAAAAAAATCATACTGATCTAATAAAATTAATATAAGTAAGATTAGGGTAAGATTTTGAATTCTAATAGGTTTGTAGATTTAGTTTGAAATTTTACCAAAAGATTGCGCTGTACGCAATTTTAAATTCCTAAATGGAAACTAATGAATTAAGATGAAAGGAACAAGAATATTTCCAATAACAATCAGTTTTAACAGAGAAACCGTCTAAATTATTTAATTATTCTCATTGTCATTATTTCTCATGTATATTTTTTAAATAGCTTGAGAAATCACCGAAACATGATGAGCTAAATTTTACCGGGCACAATGACCTATATCGATGAAAATGAGAACAGTAGCTAATGCTCTTTTTAAAGTGCGTGTGAAAGAGAGAACAAGAGGTATAAGTCCTTGACCTAGATTTCCCATACAAAATGAGCTCCACGATCCAGGGCCGTACATTGGCGCCATTTTCAAAACCAGGAAGCAAGGGAACCGGAATGAAAAAATACGGCAAGTCAATTCTGAGGTCGACCATTTCTTTTATGCCTTATAAAGATCTACAATAGGAAATCATAATAAAGTGAATTTTAAGTGTATATTCTTCTGAAATGTTTCCATTCAGATACCTCTACAGGAAATCATAATTTTAAGACAATGACGGTATAGAATTTAAAGCTGGCGCTTAACGGCTTCTTTATGAAGCTAGTCACAGTTAGGCGTGGAACGACCTTGGCGCATAACGCTAATAGGGATGGCCAGCGATTCGATTTAAATGAAAAAAAAAGAAGCAAATTAATGGAATTCTTGTAAAAAGCAAAGAATATGCTTAAATCCTTCAATTAAATAAACTTCAGTTCGTCTGGAAAGAAATTTTTCACGCATATAGCATTCTTAATTTAGTATCATTCATTTTCGTATAATTTTTCTCACTTCGTTACTCTTCAGTTCAACTTCAAGGCTTACCATATTTGTTTCCCTTTGTACCCACCTCACACTGCGATTCTGAAACTTATTGGCTCCTTCCATAAAGCTGCTCGTGCTATACGATTTCTAGTAAGGTCTGAATGGTTCTATGCTATGAATCTGATCCCCACTAAATCACATTTTGTTATTGTTGGAGCTATTTGATAGTGCCACTATTGGCCTAGAGATGACTCTTACCGTCATTGGGTAGTGTTTTAATACTAGCTTTAGTCTACAAAATTAGGAATTAACTATAAATTCTAAATCTCTCAGGATTTACAAAATCTGCTATTGAATTTCACATGTAGCGATTCAGTTGATAATTGTTATAGCTACCGTACAACTTCAAAATTATTGTTTTTTTTAAACGTACAATATTAAATATATTTACATTCCGCCACATATTTTCAAATATTGCAAATTTTACACATCACTAAAGTAATCAGCTGGTATCTATCAAAATACAGACATACCAACCTAACCAACCAAGATTCGGCGCTATGTTCACGTTGACTATGCGCCACAAACAGCCGCAGTATCGACAAACGTTCACAAAACGTTTAGACGTAACAACCATAGTGTCGTTTCTCTCCTTATTTTAGTAATTAGTCCTTTATATATTTAAATCTCCTTCATTTTATTAGTTCATGTGTTAAGTGTTCAGTATATCGTTATAATAATGCTAAGTGCCGCATCGAAAAACGTCTTTTGAAGCAATTACGTAATGGGAATTATGCTAGACAAGTTTAAAGTTTTGCTCTGAAATTTCAACATGGCCGCTGATACAGGGATGGACACTTGCCCTAGTCCAGAGATTACGGATTCCAGGAAGCGACCCCTGGATGGAGACTCAGAAAATGGAGATGTCAAGAGATCACACTTCAGCTCGGGTGAGTGGTGCACCGCATTCTACATACACATACTACCAACGTATAAATTTATTTCATTGCGTACTTGGCAAGGCAATAACATTGACATAGTCTCGTGGTCGACCCGCCTATGCAGCTGGAGGGGGCGGAGATTCTTATCAGCGCGCACATTGTTATCAACGTGACCTATATCGTACGATACGAGGGTCATTTTAAGTGAACTAGTTCAATAATTGAACGTTTTAAAGTTTATAGCAGTGAAGACTTAGATAAGTTTGGTATACTAAGTTCTTATCGTTCCGATAAGCGTCGAGGGCGGCGGCGACGTTCGGTGGCTCGCTTCTCGCGCAATTGTTGTATATGCAATGTTAAAACGTCGTGGTTGTTTTTTAGTGCAAGACTTGGTGACCGCGTTGCCCCTGGCCAACGGCCATGGCTCTATTACGTCTCATTTCGGTGAGTCGATCGTAAACGCATTTGAATCCATCGGCTTTGTGGTTGAAAGGCGCGCATGCACCACGCGCGCACTTGCTCCTCCTCACTCGCGCTGCTGATCACGACTCCAGGAATGAAAAACCTTATCACTAAATAGGCTTATCACCTGTTTTTCATCCAATTAGTAACGAAACTGCTTCCAATTAGATTCTGATTGGATGCCTGTTATCTGTTCTAGTTTGATGAATATTTTGATTAGGGTTGTCAACAATGGTTATGTAACAATGCATATATATAATAATTTGTTAATCAATATTTTTTATTTTCTTTATTTTCTCTACTAGCTTAGTAAAATTATTTATTATGAGCGATAGAAAAATAGATTTATATATTACTTTTTAGAAAAAAAAATTGCTAAAAATAATAATAATCAAGAAAAAAGTGACATGAGCAGAGTGAGGGAGCAGTGTAGGTGTCAGCATCGTAATCGTACATTGAGCACTGTAATACAATGCCTAGATGTTGTGAGCCATCTCGTACTTAGCCTCATATCGACTTCACCATTGGCTTAGTCGTTCCATTGTCGGTGTGACATTTGCATCTGTACAGACCATATCTTATCTTTGGTATATAAAAAAACTTTTCGGAAGAAAATCTATCAGCTTTTAAACGCTTTTAATTTTATTTCAGGAAGGAACTAACAAAAATTTGTTTAACATATTTACTTTGCGTAATTTCATTATACATAATAAATTTCACTTAATAATTTATAGTTTGGCACTGTTCACCATCATGTTAATGTATAAGAAATGTGTTAGATTTTTCTTTCTAAATAAAGTGCTGTTCCTAATATGTGGACTTATAAATAACAAGAAAGAATAATGGGAGAAAACATTTAAATATTTAAAATTATCNAAAATCTATCAGCTTTTAAACGCTTTTAATTTTATTTCAGGAAGGAACTAACAAAAATTTGTTTAACATATTTACTTTGCGTAATTTCATTATACATAATAAATTTCACTTAATAATTTATAGTTTGGCACTGTTCACCATCATGTTAATGTATAAGAAATGTGTTAGATTTTTCTTTCTAAATAAAGTGCTGTTCCTAATATGTGGACTTATAAATAACAAGAAAGAATAATGGGAGAAAACATTTAAATATTTAAAATTATCATTGTCCTAAATATGGATGTTTTAATTTTCCAAGGCTAACTATGAATATTTGCTTAGAAAAAATCTAAACTATATAAATATTTTTCAAATTCCATTTTATTAAGAAAATGTTTCCTATTGTCAATCAATCTGATAAGATTTTAAATTTTATTATAGTACACTATTTCCATCAGCACAGATATTCTTTAAATTGATTGTTGATAATGTAATTACTTTTTATGATTGTTTCAATGATGTAGATGGAAAAACGGATTTGATGGCCTATTAGGAATTCAGGTGCTGGTGCCCTTTGCCAATACCACTACCAACCTTGAGACATGAGGTCGAAGTTTGAATTATATTGTAATTGGAACTGAAGCCAATTATTGCTCGGAGCAGAAAAAAATAGAATGATGGTTGAAAGTAAGCTCTACCACAACACCCACCCTTCTATTCTAGTCATGACACAGACTCGGCACTAGGCGAAAACATGGGACGTTTTATCCATCATACATTGAGTGCCCTTGAGTCGCATGTCTTTCGAGGACAGCATTTACTCCGCGACTTTGTCTCAAGGTGAGCGTTGGCATTTACGGCGTGGAATGAAGTCTGAACAACAGATACTGTTTAATAAAAATACAACCTATGACTTTATTCAAAAATATTATTAAATACATTCTTCAATACCGTGTCCACGGAATATTTCCATCAGAGTCAGGCCTCCACGTCTCGTTCGTAAAGCCTAGTTCAGGATCTTGGCAATTGATAAATGACTCTTAACCGGTCACCTCCTGCGGCCACGACTTTTAAACAAACCGAAAGGAAATAATTTTGTGTCCGTTGAATTTATTTTCAACGGCGTTTGGCTATTACCCAACTTCAAAAAAGATACTGCTTATTTGCTAATCAACAATGGCACTTAGAGCAATTAATAAAAAACCTTGTAAATAAAGTCCAACGTTTCTTTAAATGATTGTACTCCGTGCATTTATTAACAACTAGCTGACCCGGCAGACTTCGTAGTGCCTGAATCGATAAATAAAAGACCTAAACTTTTGTATAAAATAAACTTAAAAGAAACAAAAAGAATCCGTCCAACGGGGGGGACATCAAAGGAAAGACAATTTTCATATTTATCTACCTTTTAAACCTTCTCTGGACTTCCACAAACAATTCAAGAACAAAATTAGCCAAATCGGTCCAGCCGTTCTTGAGTTTTAGCAAGACGAACGAACAGCAATTCATTTTTATTTAAATAGATTTGTCCGATTGAGTTGAAACTACAGTTATAGTTGGCAATATAAGAAAGGTTCTTTTCACAGTACCATTAAACGCAGAATACCTAGGTGGCGTGCGAGTATTTTTACGCAATGTTATTTTCATATGTGATCATAGACGGAATTCACAAGTATGAAATAAAATATGCCAAAACAACATATTTGTATGAGCCAACAACAGGAAAATAAATAAATCTGCATTTTCGTTAATGTAGATTATTTTATCCGGTGACTTACTGTTCGCTGCCGGAGTTTTAGAAAATATCAAAGATACACTTCACATTATGAGCACAAGGCATATCTGCATTTGGAAGTTCTCTTTCTAAATATTTCTGGGTAGTGTTCTGGTGTTGCCCTGCATCTCGACTGTACTGTCCGAACTATTTTAGAATTTTAGATGAACTAAGTATTTAATGTAAACTTATCATATACCTGTTGTATTAGATTTACGGTTTTATAAATACCAATAGATGTAAATAGGGACGGCAACTTGGGGCTTTCTACCTCAAGTTAGAACGAGAATTCACATAAGACTTTTTTGGTAGGTCATTTTTTGCGATTATTTTTTTGTGGAACATTTGGCATCACTGTCTCGATATATAGAGAGAGAAAGAGAAAGTGAGATTGAGAGAGAGAGAGAGAGATAGATAGATTGAAAAAGAGGGAGAGAGAGAAAGATGTACATAACTTAAAAAATTTTGCATATTGTCCGCTCTCCCGGTTCTAGAACATTTTCTATAGAGTTCGCATTATAAACTATTTGTCTTCTTCAAAATAGATTGATAAAATTCAGCGAAAAGACCATTCCTCTACTCATAAATCGTGAACACTGTAAACACATCGCTACTCCATTAATGTCGAGAAGGTCAATGGCGGCTCGACTTAACGACCGGCTACCGGCATACCGAAATAAAACTAATCTTCAAGTGAATAGTGCACATTATTAATTGGGGATTTGTAGTCAAGGTAACTCGAAGTCGAAACATGTTAACTTGTAACTTTTTAAGGTTACCAGTTAGCACTGGTCTTTGTCTGTTGACTAATAATTTTCAAAAATAAAATTATAAAGTCGGATTTCGAGGATGTCAAGTATTCTAATCGAATACTTGCAAATGGTAATGGTCCTCGATCGATTGAGATGATGTTAGTATTAATTATTAATTGATATTATCATTACTTTATTATTACTAGGATAGGGGCGAATTAACGCACGGTCCACCTGTTGCTTAGTTGTTACCAGAATGTTGCCCACTTTGAGTCATGGAAACATGTATGACAAATTTGCAGGTGGTAACCCACCCACGTTGGCTCTTAAGCACACCCGATCCTGTAGACCGAATGGTAAACAGTCGACGTCGCCCAAAGCACGTCATTACGGATCCTCCCGATCCATGAACGGTGCTTTTAGGCACCACAAGCACCAATCACCGTCCTTGTCGAACCCGTCGCTTGCGACGAAGGGCTCGACAAGCAAATTAACCCATAGACACAGCCCACTGAGTTTCTCGCCGGATCTTCTCAGTGGGTCGCGTTTCCGATCCGGTGGTAGATTCTGCGAAGCACTGCTCTTGCTAGGGTCAGTGCTAGCAACACTCCGGTTTGAGCCCCGCGAACTCACCTACACACGTTAGGGTGAAGCTAAAATAGCCTCTCAAGGCTATCAAACAAGGAAAAAAAAGGCTCTTAAGACCAGTAAAATACTCTTAGGTCGTATGACACTTTGTAATTGAGTACCTAATTCATTTCACTTCTCAATTTGGATTCGAGGTCACGTTATCTTACAAAGCTGTCCTGCGATAATTGTCATATCACATCTTAATGGCTACTTAATACGTCCACATTTTTGTATCTAATAAAGTTCTTCAATACCATACACTTTTATTGCAAACAGTGCCTTTTATTATCTCTATACACTTAATTATTGTTATATAGTTAGAAAGGAACTTGTATATTAATAGGTAAAAACGAACCATGCGTATTTCATGTTATCGACGAACTGAGAATTTATTCAATTGACATTCATCGTTGCGCTACCTAATAAATAATTTACACCTTGGCTCCGACGAAACAAGTACATACCGTTGCGGAAAAAAAAAACCTAACCTGTAGTAATCATTTAAGTTCCCCTGATTTGGCAAGTCAGCATCTAAACTATGCTTTGTGTCCTGCTCGTGTGTGTGTATCGGCGTGTGAGTGAGAGCAAGACGGTAGGCTCTACCACAGCCAATCGATATGTGTGAAGTGAATTTAACACAATGTCATGAGAAGTGTATTGTTCGTCACTTTAATTCCACTCTGGTTGATGCTACTGTGCTGAAGTTCTCGTTTCAAGGTTATTTTCAATGCAATTATTATACTACAAAACCTTTTGTGGTGCGGTATCTTTAGAGCCTATAGCGGTAATATCTATTACAGAGGATCTTAAATGATCATAGTGCCTTTCTTACCAGACGTAATTTACGTCCTAACGGATCCATCAGATCCAATAACTCTTGCATTAGACGCCTTTAGCTCTAACACTAGGAGCTTAGGGACTCCGGTAAACGAACTCGTCGAACTCGACTAAGAGTTCGACGTGCAACCTAA